GCCAGGTGTATTCATGTGACTAATAGCCAATCAAAATATAAAATTCGATTAATCCAGATCAGCCTAACGAGACAAAATGATCTTGTGATGCGACTGTATGACTAGAAGATATCTTTTGAACATCAATATCGATATCGTTTAATTTTTTTCATTTAAAAAAAATGATATTCCAGTGCGAAGATGCCGAATCACGCGTCGCTTTTCGTTTAATAAATCAACACCTCGTTGAGGATTCAATTAGGCTGATGTCAATGTGCCCGACTATGGATTTACTCGCCGTTTGCACCGAGTCGGGATGTGTGTGGGTAGCGAGGTGGTATAATGCCTTGGAGAAAATTTGGACTTTACCACCTAGTCAAGACGGTGAAGAAACCGTTGAAGTTTTCACTTGGAGACCCGATGGTAAATTATCCTTGTTTTAAGAAAAGGAATTTTTCAATATGTTAAACTCGTCTTAACTTTTTAGGAAAAGTTATTGCTATCGGGTATTCAAACGGAATAATACGACTTTATAATGTGGATAAATTGGAAATGATTCATGAATTATTCCAAAAACCACTTAAATCACCGTCATCAAAATCATTTGCAATAAACTTTCTTTTTTGGGTACAGGAAACCAAAAAAGATTCTGAAATTATAAAGTATGGATAATTGGTCAATCTATTTCTTTCCTGAATAGTTATTGAATATCTTTTTCAAATCAGTGATGCGACAAATGACTTTTCAATGAGTGCCCACCCTGTTCAGAAATATTTGCCTCGACTAAACACTATGCCAAATGCCAAGCCAATTAGGTTAGCTATTCATCAAATATATGTCAAATTTCGAGATCACATTAAAAATGTCTAATATTTAATAATATCACTACAAATATTAGCAAACTCTTAGGTGATTTAAATGAATCCGACGAAGACGATTTAGATGATCGGTCGTCCAGTTCAATTGATCTGCTTTTAGCAGGTGATACCGGAGGAAATTTACATTTGAGATGGATCTTCTTTTCTCTTTTATTCTGTAGAAATAAAAATTTTGATATTATGGCCAGAAATAATTAAATCGACGCGAGTATGTTGATCCAGCGTATACGGAATATATAATTTACAACCAATATCTTTATCTCAGCATATTCAATTAAAGGTTGATTTTATTAAATATAAAAATATTTTTAATTTTGAAATTTTAATATTTTAAAAAAAATATATATTAAATTTGACTTAATGTAATTGATAGAATACGACAATAATAAAAGCATCTGTTACGCCAGATCTTTCTCTCATGACTTTGTTAATACGGACTGACGATTGTTCTACTTCCTCTGCAAGCACTGGTTTCCATAAAGATCGTTTATTTTTTGTCACGTTCAATACGGGCTTATTATACACGCAAAAATTTGAAATTCGTACTTTATCTCAAAGATACACTGCAATTAAATATTTGACTGATTATATATTCAAAGGAATCAAACAAATTGAATCAGAATATCAAGATCTGAAATTTTTGACAAATAAATTTGTTGAATCCTTTCAAGAGGTATTGGAAACAAATAATGGTAAACAAATTACATAAGAAATATCTCAAATTTTATCGATTTATACTTATAAATAATTATTATACGAATTGATGTAAGGAAGCAAAATCAAAATTATCAGCAGAGTTTGTCCGATTGTTAGCTACTGGGAAACCAAGTGCTTTATTAGACGAATACATGGAATCGCATCTTACAAAACGGGTAGATAATCTATTTCTTATGATATTTTTTTATTTTTTTTTTATTTAGAAAATATTCTATTATTTGCTTATAAATTTTTTTTAAATAAACATTTAGGCATTGAAAGATTGGGAAAGCAAGGGCCAGAAAACATTTGATAGAATTAGAGAATATATTAATCATTATGTGCGTATAGGGTGTGAAAGATTAATTATAGAATTAAATGCGTTAGCTGGATATAGTAAATGGTATAAAATTTTTATTGAAACTTTGGAATAATTCATGCCTCAAATTTTTTCCTGATGGATCATTTCAATTTTAGGCCTCAAAAATTTCAAAAGCTTGGACTCAATGAGTCATTTATACATTCATGTGTGATCTTGGCTGGATGTATAATTTCGCGATTGGAAAAAGTAAATTCAATTATTGATGAAGAATACATAAATTTTCTAGAATTTCATCAATGGCTCCAATTTGGTAAGATTCTTTTAGATCATTTTTTAAGGTCATTTCGTGTGATCATATATTATGTGAATAATGTACTCATAACATAAATATACTATAGAATTTGATAATATAACATCTCTTGAACAAAGCACTAATCCTGAAGCTTCACCTCGAGTAGATGTTCACAAAGTCTCTTCATATATAAAAAATTCACTTGGCAAAGATTTCTTAAATAATTTAGAAAAGTTTTTCGTGGATGACCAACAATCTTCAACTATATCATTACCTACTTTTGAATTTCCATTTTCATGTAACTCCTTAGATAATTGTGACCTTTTTCAACATAATTCATCCCAAAGTAACGAGTTGCCAGCATATCCATATGATTTTCTTTCATCCAACAATTCATTTCAACGTGCTCCAAGTTTTGAATCTTTTGTTACCGAATTAATTAATCGATGCGACATCCTATCATCTACAACTGCTGATAATGTTGCAAAATCCGTTAAGGCACATGAACTCGTGGATATAGTCGAAGGCATTAATTATTGTATTGAAAATATACTTTTGGCAGATATGAAAATCGTAACTGAGGTATGAATGAATGCCTGACATTTATTCTGAGCTTTAAAGTCTTAAAAGGTCTTAAAGGTCTTAAAGGTCTTGACGTTTCATAATAATTATACCTATAGGGTTTGGCGACAAGCGCATATGTAATATTTTATTTATCACAAGATCGTAACGTTTCTCCAACATGTAAGCTTCATGTTTTTCAATCTTACCATATACTTTAGAATAATAGATTAATCTATGACATTTAAAATCTAAGTGTGGGTCCTCCGATTTCCTCTGCATGCAAAGACTTCCAAAAGTTATACACCATCTTTAAAATTTGCAGATAACTTCTCTAGAAGCAAAAATGGCGAGATTGCTTGTATCCAGTTAGTGAATAATGAACATCCTGAAGAAAACTTGTCGATTACAGATCTAAACCTTTATGATGATGAAAAGTTATATATGACTGTTGTTGGTTCAGATAACGGTAATTAACAATCCTATACGTTAATTTCCTCGATAAATAATTTCATAACTTATATAATTATTATTTATGCAACTTGAAGATGAGCCAATTCTCTTATCGGAAGTGAAATATACAGAATTGAATTTTATATCAATTCCAGAGCCATATGACCTACAATCTACAAATGAATTCAAGTTGCCGAATGTTATTAATCAAGTGCTGGATCGAATGGTATGACATATTTCAAATATTTATTAAAGAGTTAATTGTTTCATATATTGGAATTAATTAACACATTTTATCTCTTAATATAACTAATATGCTGCTTAAAAAGCGGAATGGAAATTTTACACCACTTTTAGTTCAACGATTTCGTGATCTTACCCATTTTAAACCGTTACAACTAACTACGAACGGGGCAAGAGGGTTAATTGGCGCTCTTAGTAATGATAAGAAAAGTATTATCATATTTGATGCTAACGAAGAAGATGTATATGATATGAAAGATGATGATGAAAATATTAAAATGATGGAAGAATAATAGATTAATAAATTTAGGGAGAACTCTTAAAATGCTTTTTATTATAAGTTATATAGCCTTTTCTAGTCATGATTAGCAAGATCGAAAAATTATAATGCAAATTAAGAATAAAAAGACAAAATTCAATCAGTTATTTGGGTGATCCCTAATTAACAATCAAGGTTCTATACATCTACGTTTTTTTAAAGTTGATAACATCAAGTTTCGTATATTAAACCAAAGGAAAATTTGCTATTTGTAAGAGGAATTATTCAAATTAAGACATCATAATTTGGGTACTACGTATAATTTAAAAAGACTAATGGCTCAAAAGAATATGCACTTTACAATAGCATTTCAAAAACACAGTATTTTCTATCTGAATTATTATAATGCAGTACAAAACTAAACTTCAAAAACTTGATGCTAATAATTTAATATGCGTTTTTACAAATATATTATAAGTAATTTATCTATTGACTTTTAATTAGGGATGTGATTCTGCTAGACTGGTTAGTTCGTGCTCCGAACCCGAACGAACGCTATTCCGAAGCACATGCAAAATTGGGGTTCATGCACATGAATATTAATTATGTTTGCCCGAGCATGTTAGTTTAAACCCGTTACACTTTTACGTATTAAAACACATACATAATAAATTCAAATTTGTGCATTTGCATAATATATATGTTATAACATTCACATATTGCACTCTCATACAATTAATAATAACCGAATCAAACCACATCTTCAGACAGTTGAGATATCATTGAGTTCGACGTGAAGTTCAGTTAAATTAGGTTGTTCAAAATGACATTTCTTCATCCATTATATAAAATTGAAATAATTGAAGAAAATAAAAAAAAGCGAAGTATTTATATATTTGAGAATAAACTTTGTGCAATCAAAAAGAAATATATTTTTTCTTGTTTACTTTTAATTAAAACCGTCATCAATAAACTTTTAATTAAAAAAAAAATAAAGTCATTTAATTAAAAACGTCATATTTAATTAAAAATGTCATATAATCAATGCTTTTGTTTTTTTTTTAAGTTTGTAACGGGGGTCTTGGAGTAGGTGTAATCTGATGAAGGGAAATATTCGGACGAAGTTGTGCTTTACCATTATTATATATTTGAAGACTCGGTTTTTTTGTTTTTGTACTGGGGGGTGGAGAATCGTCCCAGTTTTGAATAAGAATAAGAGGAACGTCAAGATTATTTTCGTATTTGGCATTATTATCTACATCGGTATCACTGGGTATAACAGTTAATATAGGCGCATGATTTCGTGAATCATTATGTGAATCTTTGATTTCTGGCTCAATCTTAACATCTAATGTAAATTCTTCAAAATCATCATTTTCATTGACATTATCATATATATTATTATTAGAATGTGGATGAAGTTTTGCAAATGCGTGCACCAGATCATCAGCAAGAGTGATAGAATTTGGATGGTCTTCACGACTTTGAATCCAACCAACTGGTGGTGATCCTGGTGGTGAAATGAGTAAATTTTTTTCGGTCTCTGGAACATTCAAATGCCGTGTGTTGTCAGTTTCATATATTGATGTATGCTATATATATTATCCAAATTATAAGATCAAAAGTGAGAATAAATATGGTTTGAAGTATTTATGAAAGATATTTTATGATATTTGTATTCTTACCTGCCCAAAATATACACGAATGATCTTTTCCAAAAAGATTGACTTATCAAAATGTTCCTTTACACTTTTTGCATCGGTAGTTTTGTAGAAAGTAACAAAAATACGATTAAATGACTTTATTGGAACGAGCTTATAAATACTACCATACTGTTCCAGTTGACTTTTTAATTTCTCAAGATTTTCAGGTATAAACGTAGTCTGATTAACATTAGCGATGATTAGAGTATTTGTTGCGATTATTTTCGGGGCCGGAGGGGACATTTTGAAAAAAAAATTGACTGAATAAATGCAAAGTTTTTAAAAATTGAATTTACACGTGAGTAGTTTTAAGCCACAAGCTTGTTATACCGGTATAATAGAAAATTGTACGGTGCGGGACAGCTCCCCTTATATATTTACGAAAATAATAAAAAAAAATTTTAAAAACTTTTTTTAGCCAATTTGTAGCTTTATTTTAAACAGCTATTGGCGTTTATAATATAAAAGAAAATTCTATCAATTTATTTGAAAATTTGGCGTTTATAACAGTATAATATACGTAAAAGAAAATTATAAATTGACCAATCAGAATTGATTATGTAATTTTAAAATTTGGCAGTCCTAATTAACGCTAATTACCGGTAAGTATACAAACCTCTAAAAAGGAAATGGCCCGACATAGAATCCGAACACGTGCGAAAGAAGAAAATCGACCTTGGTGACTAATAAAAAATAACGGAAATGAAATTTTACATATAAGAAACTCCAACTTATCACTGAAGCTCACAACCCTAACGTCCTAATCCTAAACTTCTATTTTACGCACTTAGTTTATGCAAAATTCGATTTCCTTTTTTGGTTTGTATTGCCCGCACAAATTAGGTAAGTAAAATCCCTGGGGCACCAGCTCACCAACAATACCAGTAGTATAATACGGTATAGTGTTTAAAATTTGCACTCCTATTGGCTAAAGCAGACCGGTCTTGGAACCAGATTGAAATTAGAACTGGTTTAGTAGACCAATTTATAAACTTTGGTCTGGCCCACGGTCTGCACCTGGACCCGATCTTTTGAACAAAGGCCGGACCAAGACAGACCGTGAGTTTAACATCCCTACGCATATACTTGCCGCCCAAACCCGGACAAATCCCAAACCCCTAAAAAACAATTGCTATTTATAAAAAATAAAATCAAACAAATAATCCCAAAATTTTATAAATATATT